CTCGGGGAGGAGGAGGGGCTGATAGATGGTGCAGGAGAGGGTCCAGCCTGCTCCTGCCCCCACCACAGCCCGAGAGCGGGAAGGAGGTACCGCCGAGCTGCCCCTCCCTCCCTCTCCCCACCCCTCTTTCTCTCTCTCTCTCTCTCTCTCTCTCTCTCTCTCTCTCTCTCTCTCTCTCTCTCTCTCTCTCTCTCTCTCTCTCTCTCTCTCTCTCTCTCTCTCTCTCTCTCTCTCTCTCTCTCTCTCTCTCTCTCTGCTTCTCTCTTTCTCTCACAGCCACGAGAACTTCCAAGTCCAACTCCATTTGTTTTACTGATGAGAAAGCCTCGGTCCAGCAAGAGAGGCAGGAGCAGGGTCACAAGCACATGGGTGCCGGGGTTACATCAGTAAACAAAACAGACAAAAATTCTGCTGACTCCCTAATGGGGGAGGTGGGCGAGTGGAGCAGGTGGAGACATGGGGGTGTGGATGTGTGCTCCGGGGGAGGGGGTGTCTGGTGGGACAAGAAGGGGCAAGTTTAAATGAGGTCATCAGGGCAGGCCTCCTGCCCTTCGCCTGATGGGTTTAACAGTGTGTTTCTCATTATTTCCCTTACTTCCTCGTTGGGTCTCAACCTAAAGGTCACTTACTCCAGAGAACACTTCCCTGTATGTGTCGTCCCCCCGCCCCCCACAAGGGCGGGACCCCCTGCTCCATGCCCTCACAGCTCCTGAGCTTTTATCCCTCAGCTTTTCTCAGGGTCTGGAGTAACATCTGTCCCTGCCACCAGCCTGAGAGGCCGCGTTGGTCTAGCCCAGTGTCGTGTCCTTGGTACACAGAAGGTGCTCAATCCGTGATTGTCAGCAAAAATCAGAAGTCTCAGCTCCACATTCCTCCGTCCAATCCTCCATCTGTTGTGCATAAGGGACTCGGGGCGCCAAGTACATGAGACCCGCCCACACTGCGCAGCCATTCTCTGCCCCAGTCCGGTCTCTTCCTGAAGCACCCACCGGACCACTGGGCCCCTCAGCCCCCCCACCCCCAGGGCATCACCTGCCACCGCCCAGATTAATGGGGAGCCGGCGCGGGGAAGAACCACCCGGCCGAAGCACGTTTAATTTTAATTTAGGAATCGCTAAGGCTGCAGGCCTGCTCCGCGCTGGGCTGTCAATCAGCCTTCCTCAAGGCTGCATCAATTAGTTTAAAAATATTGAATGTAATTTTGCCTGACACAACATATTGCAGCTACTGCAAAATATAATTTATTTTAGAAGAAGAAATAATTAAACTAATTTGCATGTCAGTCAGCTGAACTGAGATGCCAAACGGGGAGGAGGCCCCGGGGGGGGTACCTGGCCCCTGGAGAGGGCACCTGCTGCTGGGCGCTGGGTGAGGTCACTGTGGGCCTGGGTCTGCGCAGTCGGTGCCGCTGGACGGACAGACATCCAGGCAGCTAGAGGGCCCACGGACAGTGTATCGAGACCGAGCACTGGACTTGGAGTCAGGAGACTTAGAACCTAGCCCAGCTGTGCCGCTGACTTGCCTGGGGCTTTGGATAAAGCCCTGCCCCTCTCTGGGCCTCGGTTTTCTCACCTGCAAAATGGGTTTAACATGACCTCCTTAACACAGGGTGTTTCGAGAATGAAATGAGGTCATAGACGAGAACTTTGTGATGCATTGGAAAGTCCTGCACAGAGGTGAAGATTAATGAATGGGTGGATTCCTTGCTTCAAACCGGAGACATTTAAGGTGGTAAAAGTGTGAATCATTATTATCAATCCTTACTAATGATGTTCACCTTGGAGGAAGGCAGTCCGAGGTGAGACATCCAGGCTGCTCTCCCCCACCTGCCAGTCACGCCAGGGCTGTGGTTGGCAGCCCTTGCTACTCATTCGGTTCCTGGAGCTGTAAAAAAAAACCAAAAAAACCGCCAGTGGCCAACCCTTGGGCATCTGAGTGTTTTAAAGGCTTCCCAGGTGACGAATAGGCAGCCGGCTGGAGACTGCTGTGATGTCAGGGGCGCTGCGTCTTGATTTCAGGGCGGCCCACAAGCCCTGGGGGTTCCCGGCCAGCCCCCAGTTTCGGGGTCCCCGGGATACGCTTTGCAGGTGGCGATGTTGGCAGAGCAGAGGCTCGCCTCCTCAGGGCGTGTTCAGGACGCCCCCACTCACGCCCGAGGGTTCAGGGCTCTCTCAGGAGGCGACCTATGACGTTTTAGGAGGGAAGGCAGAACAGCAGCAGGGTGGCAGTGACGTGGGGAGGAGGGTGTGTTAACGAGCCGTGTCTGTGTAAACAATTCACAATCTATACCTGTATCGGCGCATCACACGCTGTGCACCTTCCGCTCACACCACGTCGTACGACAGTGATATCTCAACAGAGCACGAACGTTTTAACAAGAAGAGGGAGGAGCTACCCAGCGAAGCTAAAGAAATGGTGCCACGTGGGGGTCTCTCTGCAGCAGTGGCCCCAGTCCTCCCGCAGGGTGGCTGCCCACGGACGGGGACTTCTGTGGGCTCCTTTCTGCGTGCCCACAGACTCGGTCTCCTCTCTGGTGCCTGGGTCGCCCCCACGGCAGGGGAGGGTGCCCCCTACCCTCCCTCTCCCTCTCTGTTCCTGGCACAGCCTCACCCGCCCCGACTCCCGAAAGCACCACCATCTGTCTGTCTAAGTTCTCCAGCGCCGCGCTCTTAAAAATAACGGCTCTCCCGGCATTCCCAGTCACGACTCTCATCTCCTGCCCTGGAAGAGGCCCCTCTGATCACCGAAGCGGCAGATCCGAGGGACTGAGAAGATATGGTGCCCCCGGCTAAGGGGAGCCCCAGAGAAGGGTCAGGCTCTGAGTTAATTAAAGACTCGCCCCTTCGAGGTGGCTGCACCTGCCTCCCCGTCTCCCTTTCTCCCTATCAGCACACAGGCACCTGCAGTCCACATCCAGCGGGCCCCGCGTTCAGAGGAAGAGGAAGCCAGTCCGTTCCACTCCCCCAAAACTCACGGGGTTCTTGGCTGCCTGGAAGCTTCCCCGTTGCCCCCAGAATAGCTCCCCGCCACGCAGGCCGGAGACCCAGCCATCGGATCCCTGCTTGGAAGGGGGTAGTTTCCCGTCCCAGAGGATGTCCTTGAAGAAGGATGAACTCATGGCTAAGGTAGCAGAGGACCGGGTACCAGTGAGCACTCAGAGGTCTGGGGAGCAGCTAGAAAGGGCCAACATTCTGGGTGTTGCTCAGAGAGGATAGACCTAGTCACTTGATGTCACTGCTGAACAGCCCTGAGAGGGTGTTTGTTTATTCAACAGATCCTTATGCAGCACTTGCTGTGCTGCATACACAGTTTCAAGGACTTTACAGATAGTAACTCAGTCTGTCCTCTTAGCCAGCCCATAGCTACTAACCCCGTTTGCTGGTGAGAAAACGGAGGCACAGAGAAGACAAGTCACATCGCATGGATCACACAGCGGCTAAATGACAGTGTTGGATCCCAGCTGGTTTGGCTCAGTGGATGGAGTGTTGGGCCAGAGGGTTCCAGGTTCGATTCCAGTCAAGGGCACGTATCTTGGTTGCAGGCTCCTCCCCAGCCTGGGCACTGGTTGGAGCACATGCAGGAGGCAACCAGTCAGTGTGTTTCTCTTACATGGATGTTTCTCTCTGTCTTTCCCTCTCTCTTCCATTCTCTCTAAAAAAAAAAAAATCACAGGAAAAATATCCTCAGGTGAGGATTAACAGCACAACAAAAAAGTGATGGCGTTGGGATCAGAACCACTTGCTAGATCTTAATCACTCTGCTCTGCTCGTTTTCTGGTGTGGAAACTGATATCAGAGAAGGAAAGGTCTTACCCAAGATCAAGCACTGGGTCAAGGACAGAGCCCTGCCAGGAACTCAAAACTCTTTCCATCTGAATCCTTCCAGTTTCATTCATTTGTTCAACAAATATATTAGAACCTGCTCTGTGTCGTATCCCACAATGTTGAAGTAATATGGTGGAGGCCTTGACCTCAAAGACATCACAGTTGGAGGAGTGGGGACTTTATGGTTTTGCAAAGGACCCAGGCCAAGACTGGAGGTGGTATTGTCATGCCCTCTCAGGATCAGGTCTTGAAAGAGCAGAGATTTGGGGCTCAGTTGACAGCTTCTCTAGTCTTTAAACTTTTCCATGTTTGAATTTCTCTTCAGCAACATGGGGATATAAATTGTACCAAACCACAGGGTTCCTACAAGGATACCTGAAACAATGGGCATGAATGCTCCAGGTGTGTCCTATTCACTCTGTGGTGAGGGGACAGAGCTGGCAACAGTGCTGGCAGTGCTGCTGGAGGTGGGAGTGGGGTAGTGATGTGATAGTGATAAGGGTGATGATGGTGGGAGTGATGATGGGGTGGGGATGATGTGGTGTTAGTGATGGCCTCAGTGTTTGTGATGATGGTAGAGATAATGAAGGCGGTGGTAGTGGTGGTGATAATTCTAATGGTGATGGCAGAGCTGATGGTGATCTAATAGTGATGGTAATAGAGCTGTAGCGATGGCATTGACGAGGGTAATAGTGATGAGGATAAAAGTGGTGGTACTGATAGTTATATTAGCAAAGATGGCAATTATAATACTAATGGTGGTCGTGGTAATCGTAATGGTGATGCTGACAGTGGCACTGATGGACATGGTGATGGTGATGGTGATGGCGTTGGGTGGTATTGGTAATTACTGTGGTGATTGGTAATTACTGATGGTGGTATTGGTAATTACTATGGTGAAGGCTATGAGAATGATGCCAGTGGTGCCAATGCTGTAATGGTGATCATCTAATGGCGGTGATGGTCATAGCAATGGTGATGGTGACAGTGACAGTAGTGATAAGTCACTTATGCCAGATGTCTTCAGTTCTCATCCTGGGACCAGCTTGATCACCCCACACGTCTCTCTCAGCGTGACTCCACCTCCTGATCTTGTCCAACAGCAGGTGGGAGGGGGGAAGGCTGTCTAGGTCTCTTATTGGATACCTGTCACCTTCCTCCGTGCTCTTGTTATAGACAATCATGCCCAGCTCTCCCGGGCATCCCTAAGGATCCGAATCCTGGATGTGAATGACAATCCCCCAGAACTGGCCACTCCCTACGAGGCAGCCGTGTGTGAGGACGCCAAGCCAGGCCAGGTACCACCCAGGGGCTGGGCACTGCAGGCTGCTGCTGGGGGCTCCCCTACCCAAGGGGGCTCGGCCTCACATCAGCTCCTGCCCCTCTCACCCTTTAGCTCATCCAGACCATCAGTGTGGTGGACAGAGACGAGCCCCAGGGCGGGCACCGCTTCTATTTCCGCCTGGTGCCTGAAGCTCCCAGCAACCCTCACTTCTCTCTGCTCGACATTCAAGGTGAGTCACTTCTGAACCCCCGAGTCCTAGGGTGTATGGAGGGAGGAGCCTAACTTAACTGCCTTCTTTCCACATTACTTATGGAGAGAATGAGACACCCAGAGGGTAAGCATTGGGCCCAAGTTCACACAGAAAGTCCGGGCCAAGCTGGAGCTGTGGTTACCCAGTCACTGGCCAAACCCTGCGGAATAAGCAGGAGGTGGGTGGCCCAGGGGAGAGGGGCATCTCAAGGGTGGAGGATGAGAGATGAAACATACAGAGAGCCAATCCATGAGGAGGGGTGGGTCTGAAGCCAGGGCAGGAAGAGCCTCTAAGTCAGCGGTTCTCAACCTTTCAAATGCCGCGGCCCTTTAATATAGCTCCTCATGTTGTGGTGACCCCCAACCATAAAATTATTTTCGTTGCTGTTTCATAACTGTAATTTTGCTACTGTTATGAATCGTAATGTAAATATCTGTGTTCCCGAGAGTCTTAGGCGACCCTGCTAGCGGTTCTCAACTTGTGGGTTGCCGAATACCATCGGAAAACACAGTAGGTGTTCAATAAAATGTATTAAACGGAACAGGGGGGAATAAAACAGGCTCATTTAAATAAGACGGTCTGGGAAGGCCACCGGAAGGAATCAGTAGTGAGTAGGTATCTAGCGGAATGAGGGAGGGAGCCATGCAGAGAACGACAGAGAATGATCCAGGCGGACAGAACAGTGAGTACAAAGTCCCTAAGGCGGAAACGCCAGATGCTCCAGGATCAAGAGGCCTGCCTGGCTGGAGCGAGCGAGTGACAGGACCAGGAAGGGATGTCAAAGGAGAGGTGCCAGGGGCCCGACCACGGTGGCTCCTCTGACCCTGAACAAGTGTGGGACCATCCCCAGTACCTTTACACCCCTTCCCTCCAGAGGGAGAGACCTCAGGGCCTCAGTAGCCAGACCCATCTGTATTTCCAGGAGTCGGGTTGAAAATATTGCACACCTAGTACACTCCGGAAAGGACACTGACCCTCACTCACCCGGAGCAGGAGCCGGGAGCCTTGGCTGGGCCAGGCTCTCTCCTTTTGATTGTGACAAAGTAGGGAGTGCCTGGGGGAAAGGCTGAGGCCTCGGGAAAGGACTTGAGGGGCTCAGAGTTGTGGCTCTTTAAGTCTTTTTGGAAATATTTCAATATTTTAACAACCGGAATAGCCCTGCCCTCTCCTTATTCTAGTGGCATCCTGAACAGGCCTCAGGAGACACCAATAGCCCTGGCTTTGACCTTTCCAAATCCATGAGCCTCTCCAACCCACGGGCCTGGGGTTCTGCCCCAGATGCCTCTCTCTGACTGGAGGCCGCCGGAGCTTCTACCTGGTGGCACCCCTGGTAGGAGCGAGGGAAGGTCTCCCCCTCCTGTCCCCAGTCCTTCCTGCGGTGTGCCAAGCCCACTCCTCCTCCTCGCCGTATAAATATCCAGGGTGACAAACGGCTACCCCAACCCATCTGTTTCTCTGTACACATTTGTAGCCAGTTTGGAAACGTGATTTATAAATATTGCTTTTGCAGCCAGGGACTGACACTGATGTATGTCAGGCCAGATGGATGGATGCGGCGCTGGCCGCCGATTCCAGCTAGAAGTTTGGGGTTGGGTCTGGGCTGGCCAGGGGCTTCCCCAGCTGGAACCAGCCACTTCCCTTGGAAGGCAGCTCAGGGGTTCGGGGACGATGCTCATGGAGCCCCTCTTTATGGGGTGAAGGAGCGGCAGGGACCAAAGCTCTCCAAACGTATGTCTCCACGGCCAAAGACAGCAGCCCTGGGAAACAAATATCCCTCCTCTCCTCTGTTCTTGCTTGGAAATTTGAAGCGGAGCCAGAGCCAGCCACTCATTTTTCAAATCTGTCTAATTCTCGGTGCCTCCACTGCCGCTATTATCTCACACCTGAAACACACAATAGCTTCCTACTGGTCCTCCACATCCACTCTTGTATTTTACATTAGAAACCTCCTTGTCTGGAAGAGAGGCTCAGCAAAGGCAGGGACCATGTCTGTGTTGTTCATTACTGTAGCCTCAGGGGCCAGAATAGTCTGATAGGTAGTGGGTGCTCCATTAGTCTCTGTGGTTGAATGAATAAACGACATGTCCCTAGACCACTTCTTTGCTTAAAACCCACCAATCCATGGCCTCCCATTGCTTTTAAGAAATTAAGCCAAGTTCCTTACCACAGCCTCTAGTACTCTCCATGGTGGGCCCCTGCCTCTCCTCCCAGCCTCATATTGACTCGCTGTAGCCATCACCCTCATTCCTCCAGCCACAACGAACTGCTTTCGGCTCCTTGAGTCTGTTGTGTTTGTTCCAACCTCAGGTCCTTCGCATGGCTCTTCCCTCTCCTTGAGCTCATCATTCAGGGCTCAGCAGTAACATCGCTTCTTCCAAGGAGACTACCCTGACCTTCCAGTCTGAGTCCAGTCCTCTGTTAGGTGCTCTTCCTATTCTTTTCCTCATTAACCTTCACCGTGGCCCGTGGTTTGTAATTGCAGACCAACTTGTCTATTTGATTAATATTTGTCTCTCACATTAGAATTTAAACTCACATCCAGTACTATTGGTTTAGCTCTCCATTATCCATCCTGCTCCTCATCCCCACCCCCAGTAATAGCATGGTGCCTAGCACATAGTAGTTACTCAATAAAGAGTTATTGGATGGATGGATGGATGGATGGGTGATAGAAGGATAGATGGAGGATCAGTGGATGAATGTATGATGAATGGATGGATGGATGGATGGATGGATGGATGGATGGATGGATAGATGGATGGATGGATGGATGGATGGATGTAAAAGGTAACTATGCCAACAATTCCCTGGATACATTCAGATAAGTCACCAATTTCCACAAATATAAGATGGGGATAATGTCAACTCTTGGTTGTAAGGATTAACCATTACTATGTGTTTAAAGTATCCACACAGTCCTTGATGTACAGAAAGCATTCGGTACATGCAAAGGAGCCCCGCACCATTCCCTCTTTTCCCCATCTTGCTCTTGAGCCTCCTTTCTTCCTCGGGGAAGGCAGATGTTTTCACAGCTGGGGTTAACCAAGCCTTTGACAAGAGGGCTGGAGTTCAAGCCAGAGCTGGAGGAACTAACCAAGGACCACAAGCGTTACCCCGAAAGTTGTGGTTCACTCAGACGTCGCTGTTCACGCCTGGCTCGGTGCCAGGCCGGAGACAGGCACCCGCTGCGGCACCACGAAGTGACAAGTGCTGTAACAGAAGTGAGCACGGCACCTCCGTAGTCAGAGCAGCGAGAGGGGAGTCATAAATCCTTCCTTCCCCGGGAAGCGGAGAAAGGAGGCCACAGAAAGAAGGTGACATTTAGCTGGAGCATGACGGATGAGGAATTTGCCCAGGCAGGGAGGTGGAGAGGGTGCAGCAAATAGTAGGGACTTGGTGAGTAACGGACAGAGCAGCCTGGGCAGGGAGCGGGCACTCCGTGCAGCCCCGGGAGCGTCGGGGTGGGGATGGGGGGTGGGGGGTGAAGAACCGCCAGCATCTATTGTGAGCTCCTGGGTGCTGGGAACTATTCTAAGGGTGATGCGCGCCTCTTACCATTTAATCCTCACACCCACGTGCTTCTATTTTCCTCAGCTACAGATTAGGAAACTGATGTCCTGAGAGGCCACGTTTCCCAAGCTAGTAAATCGTCAACTTGGCTTTGTTTTTAACATCTTTGTGAAAAGTTTCAAATGGATAGAATCATATCACCAATTCCCATGTGCCTATCGTGTAAGCTTCAAACGGGACCAATCTTATTTCAGCTAGATCTCAATCCGTTTCCTAGATGTGCTCAGGGTCACACACGGCCCTCCAAAGGCTCTTTTTCCTGCTTTGTATCCAGTAGTAGAGGCCCGGTGCATGAAATTCATGGGGGGGGGGTCCCTCAGCCCAGCCTGCACCCTCTCCCATCTGGGACCCCTCCAAGGATGTCCGACTGCCCATTTAAATGGGAAGTCAGGCATCCCTCTCACAATCCAGGATTGCTGGCTCCCAACTGCTCGCCTACCTGCCTTCCTGATTGCCCCTAACCACTTCTACCTGCCAGTCTGATCACTCCCTAGCCACTCCCATGCGAGCCTGATTGATGACTAACTGCTCCCTTGCCGGCCCCGTTTGCCTCCAATTTCCTCCTCTGCTGGCCTGGTCGCCCACAACTGCCCTTCCTTGCAGGCCTGGTCCTTCCCAACTGCCCTCCCCTGCTAGCCATCTTGTGGTGGCCATCTTGTGTCCACATGGGGACAGGATCTTTGACCACATGGGGGCGGCTATCTTGATCTTGTGTGTTGGAATGATGGTCAATCTGCATATTACTTTTATTAGATAGGATGGGGAAGGCCTGGCCTGGGTGAGTGGGGCTGAATTGGGGGCTGCAGAGAAGAGGTTGGGTTAACTGAGACTGGGAGAGGGACCCAGGCTGTCAAAGTCAGAGGTCAGTGAGACCAGCTGCATGACTGGGAGGGCAGGGCCCCTCGTGTGGAGTTGGCTGTGAAGTGAGGGGAGTGGCCAGCTGGGCTCTGAGTACCTCTGCACCACCACGTTGGCAGCGATCAAAATGATGAAGGCTCAGGGATGGCCTGACCCATCCAGGAGAGGTGTAGAGGAGGCAGAAAGGCCAGGGGAAGTAGGTACCACACATGAGCCCTTGTTCCAGGACCAGACACCCACTCCTAACTCCTGCTGGCATTCCCAGCAACAGGCTGCAGCAAGGTAATGAGTCCGTGTGCTAGTGCACCATCCTCTCTGGCCACATGTGTTCTTAAAAAAGGAAAGAGGTGGTTGAGAGCCCTTTGGCATGATCAGGCCCTCTGACCAGGCCTTGAAAGCCGTGCCCCTGCCCGCTAGGCTCGGTCTCTTAGACTCCGGATGGAAAGCTTCTTCAGCCAAAGGCAGCTGCTAGCCAGTGTCCCCAGTCTTTTCTGATGACCCAGAACTTGTCAGGGCCCAGCAAGCCACAACCCAAGGGCCACAGTTCCCTGGGTCAGGATGCAGTGGACAACTAGGGTGGAATCTGGAACAAAAACAGGGTGTTGAGAGAAATGGGGAGAAAAAAAAAAAAAAAAAAAAAAAAAAAAAAAAAAAAAAAAAAAAAAAAAAAAACCACCATAGCCAGGGACAGGACCTTGGATTCTGGGGACAGAATCTTGGAATAGCTCGAATAAGAAAAAGAATCTTGAGATAGCTGGGAATAGAATCTCGGGACAGCTAAGGACAGGACTGTGGGCTATCTTGCTGGGAACAGGATCTCCGGGCAGCTGGGGACAAAATTTGGGGACAGCTGGTAACAGAGTTTTAGAAGATCATCGGGAAATAGACGCCTTGGTCAGCTGGGAGGCTGGCACCTGGGCACAGGGAGGCTCTTCCCGGAGGTGAAATCGGGGGGTGCCTGGGACAGGGGAAGCTGACCCTGGACCCCACGTCACACGCCCCTCCCTTTCTCTGGCGCAGACAACACCGCAGCAGTGCACACGCAGCACCTGGGCTTCAACCGGCAGGAGCAGGACGTGTTCTTCCTGCCCATCCTGGTGGTGGACAGCGGGCCGCCCACGCTCAGCAGCACGGGCACGCTCACCATCCGCATCTGCGGCTGCGACAGCTCCGGCGCCATCCAGTCCTGCAACACCACGGCCTTCGTCATGGCCGCCTCCCTCAGCCCCGGGGCCCTCATCGCCCTGCTGGTCTGTGTCCTCATTCTCGTAGGTGAGTCCGCTGAGAGCCAGCACCCTCCCCAGGGACCCACATCCTGGGGCACCGGATTTCCTTCCCGGGAAGTCCCCGGGGGGCCTCAGTTTCCCTCCTCCTACAAGGAAGGGCTGGCTTGAATGGTCTCCGAGCTCTAACGTGATGTTCCCTTGAAAAGTCTTCTCAGGACAGAGTAACAGCCCCACCGTCTCTACAGACGGTGTCAACCCCGACCCGAGACTAAGTCAGCCTGCCCTACCCTCCTCACAGTCCAAGAGTCCCCTAATTTTGAAAAAAACAGGCACGTTTTTAAAAAATTCTCTCACCTGCGGTCCTAAATTATTCTCTATGCAGGGCTTTTAGTAAAGGGCTCTTGTGAGCCTCACCACCCCTCAGCCAGGTGTATTACCCCCATTTTTCAGATGAGGAGACTGAGGCCCAGAGAGGTTTAGTGGCTTGCAGAAGATGCACAGTCAGTCCTCCGACTTGAAACCACGTCTTCGCATCCTGGGTTCCCTGCTCCTTTACCCCACCTGCTAGGAACCTAAACTGGGGGCAAAACCTTGGGGCAGCTGGGGCAAAAATCTTAAGAATTTGGGGGTCAGAATTTAGTCTGATGTCAGTCCCACCGGCGGCCCATTGAACCCCCACCATGTCCCCAGGGAAGAGATCAAGTTCCAGGAGCCAAACTGAGTCCAGTGACCATGATGCCGCCTTTCACCCTGGTAGCAATAGGCCTCGTCTCAGCCCTGACTTCTGGGCCTCACGGGACAGCAAGAGCTAGAGGGCTCAAGGGAGGTCCATGTTGCAGATACCGGCTTTGCTCAGTCCCCCGGGAGATGTCAGCTGCCCCCCACCCCTCAGTGCCTTCCACTCCTGTGGCCACTGCCCACCCCTCTGAGGACCTGCCTGTAGCCCAGCTGCACCTCCTCAGGTCCCTGCAGAGCCCTGGACAGGCTCCTCCCAGCTGGAAGGCCCCGCCCCCCTCCCCTCCCCAGCCCACGGCTCAGAAACCCTTTTCCAGAGGGTGCACTTTACAGCGGTCTCATTTTCTGAGGCAGTGCAAACAAATTTCTGCCTAATTGCCCACAAACGAAGAAAGTGCACATCAGTGCTCTAAAGGTGACGGCGGAAGCGCTGATCGGGCCTGGCACATCTGTCGCTCGCCGCCTGCGCTCCCCGCCATCTGCTCTCATGGGCATCCCCCTTTGCAGCCTCCAGCCTCCAGCTCCTAACGCCATCCATCCATCTTCCCCACTTCCCTCCTGACACCTTCCCTCCCTCCGGACCTCTCCTTGGCCCCCATCCCCTTCCCTGTCATGAGCCACCTTGTTAGGCCAGGAGCCAGCACCCAGCTTCATGGCCCTCACAGCTGCCTCTGGCCCCTGGCCCCGCTGGAGCTGTTTGGAGCAGCAAGAAGAACCCAGGGCCTGGCATGGTACCCAGGACAGCTGTCCATCCATCCACCCATCCAGTTCTCCCCTTCGTCCATCAGTTCCTATTTATCCATCCGGCGAGCTCCCCCTGTGCTAACCTGTGCTAGGCACTGGAACTCATCGGCGAGCAGGAGGCTAAAAGCCCTGAGTAACTGGGAAGTCGGGGTTGCCGTCACTGCAACGAAGGAGACTGAGGAAGGCGGGAAGAGGATTGTTAGCTCACGTGTGGGCAGTTAAACTTGAGATTCTCTTGGTCAGCCCAGAGCACTGGTTACATAGGAAACTGGACATGCAATCTCGATTTCAGGGGAGAGGTCCAGGCTGGAGTTTGCGATACAGGATTTGCCAGCCTCTAAATGGTGCTTAGTAAATGAACAGCCCTTCTTTCCTCTTAACTCTTACGGGGGAAACTCTAAGCTCTTAGAAAACCATGAGGCTGAAGGAGAGCGCAGAGACAGGGGTGGCGGATGAAGGTCCAAGGACTGAGTCCTGGGACATCTGAGGTGAAGAAGTCGGAGAGGAGAAGCCCGCGTAGACGGCTGAGTGATCAGAGACATGGGAGGAGGCAGAGCACAAGGAGTGCGGGAAGTCAAGTGAAGAGAGCCAAGAAGGGCTGATTCATTCATTCACTCATCCTTTCACTCACCCAGGTTTCCATCCACCTCATTCACTCATTCATTCAACAAGCATGCTTCACCTGCTCACTGCACGCCAGGCAGAAGGTTGGGGGAACACTGCCCAGGTCCTCCAGGGTAGTGGAGCGTGTATATTTGGGGTTTGGGGGAGGGGGTGGAGACCGACATGTTAACCCAGCAGGGCCGATGGTATGATGGAGCAGTGGCTCTCTAACTGGCAGGTCTAAAATGGGACCTGAGCATTCACATTTCTAAGGAGCTGCTGGCTGCTGCTGGTCCGGGGGCGGAGGTTTGAGAACCGGTGTGATGGAGGGAGGAACCCCTCCCCAAGGGAGCCTGGAGCTCCTCGGGGAAGGGCTCCTGCAGGAGGCCTCTTGACCTGAGACTCCAGAGACTCGGAGGGTGCTCAGGACTTCTGGAGTGGACAGAGGAGGGCGAGGGCGAAAGAGAGGTCAGGGCCAAGGACATTTTTCACTCCTGCAGCCCTCGGCTGCTCCCTCCTAAACCCCAGCACCTGCACCTTGGTGTGTATCTCTTCAGAGAGCTGAGAATGAAGACCTCAGAGGTTGGGTTCAGCCCTCGACGCCCTTGAAATCTCTTCACACTGCCCTCTGTGCCCCCACAGCCTGCGGTGGTCTGGCCCCAATTTGCACACCTCCCAGGATGGACATAGCTCACTGCTTATCCAGGTGGCCACCTGGGCGGCTCCCAGGGGTGGGAGGGGAGGCCCTGGGCGGCCCAGGGGTGAGAGGGGAGGCCTGGGCGGCCCTCACTCCGCATTCTGTCTCCCCGCAGTGCTGGTGCTGCTGATCCTCACCCTCCGGCGCCACCACAAGAGCCACCTGAGCTCCGAGGAGGACGAGGACATGCGGGACAACGTCATCAAATACAACGACGAGGGGGGCGGCGAGCAGGACACCGAGGCCTACGACATGTCGGCCCTGCGGAGCCTGTACGACTTTGGAGAGCTCAAGGGCGGCGGCGGGGGCGACGGGGGCGGCGGGGGCCCGGGCGGAGGCAGCCCCCCGCCCTGCCTGCCCCCCTCCGAGCGCCACCCGCTCCCGCAGGGGCCACCCAGCCCGCAGCCGGACTTCTCGGTGTTCAGGGACTTCATCAGCCGCAAGGTGGCGCTGGCGGACGGGGACCTGTCGGTGCCGCCCTACGACGCCTTCCAGACCTACGCCTTCGAGGGCGCGGACTCGCCCGCGGGCTCGCTCAGCTCGCTGCACAGCGGCTCGTCGGGCTCCGAGCAGGACTTCGCCTATCTCCGCGGCTGGGGCCCGCGCTTCCGGCCCCTGGCCGCGCTCTACGCCGGCCACCGCGCCGACGACCAGGCCCCGGCCTCCTAGCCCCCTTCCCACCCTGCGTGGGCCCCACCCAGGGCCCCATGGGGCCCGAGGACACAGCATTCCCCTTGCTCACCCTTTTCCCCAACTCTCCCACCCTCCTCCCGGGGCGGCTGAACGGGAGGGGGACTTGCCGGGAGCGTGGGGGTGCAACTGTGGGCGCAGAGGTGCGAGAATCATGATCAACGTGATAAAAACTGCCGCGAGACCAGGCACTGCGTGGATCTGGGGTTAGAAAGGGAGATCAGGGTGTTGTCCCTGCGAGAAGGGGGTTACTCGCACTCCTGGCTTGGGTGGAAAACCTTGGGGGTGGGGGAACGCTGCCAGATGCCCCCCACAGGTTTCGCCTGTAAGAGTTAAGAGGAAAGAAGGGCTGTTCATTTACTAAGCACCTACTGTGTGCTGGGAGACTCGAGAGTCATCTTAGTCAACACAGAAACCATGAGGTGGGGCCCAGTGGGAAACAGATAGAGAAAGCCACCCAGCACAGTGGCGGTGAGCTGTCCAAAGACACCCAGGCAGCGAACAGTGGGGCCTCTGGGACTTGCCAGCTGCCTGGCCTCCGGCCCGGGACCCCACTTCCCTGGACCACAGTTTCCTCAACTGTCAACTGAGGTCACTCACAGAACCGGCCTGGAAGGGTTGTGAAGATAAAAGGGTTCAGAAGTCAAGGGGTTGGGACAGTGCCTGGCACATAGTAGGTGGTCAATAAATGTTAGCCTTTGATACTATTACTGTCTTTGTCGTTATTGGAAGCCCAGCATGTCTGCCTCCCAGGTCTGAGCTCACTCCCTCGCCCCAATGGCCCTCCCCCTTCTCCCACCATCTCCAAGGGAAGGCCCCAAATGCCTGCTGTGGCCCTGCCCTGCGGGGAACAGGGATGTTCCGGGACTGCAGAGACTGCGGGAGCCACAGGAACACTGGGAGAGGACACCTGCCAGGGGTGCCGAGAGAGGCCACGCTGGGTGGCTCTGGGCATTGGATGAGGCGGGCTGGTGGAAGATGAAGGGATCCGTGCCAAAACCGGTTCGGCTCAGTGGATAGAACATCAGACTGAAGGGTCCCAGGTTCAATTCCGGTCAAGGGCATGTACATTGGTTGCAGGCACATCCCCGGTGAAGGGTGTGCAACAGGCAGTTGATAGATGTTTCTAACTCTCTATCCCTCTCCCTTCCTCTCTATAAAAAAATCAGGAAAAAATATATATTTTAAAAAAAAAGATGAAGGGACCAGAAGCCACTGAGTACACTGGGGACCTTATCTGTCTGGTCCCGGAACCCATCAGTCTCCCCATTCATGGACCCTCAAGTTAAGAACCGAAGGGGCTAAGTCATCTCTAAGCCTACAGCTCTAAAGCCAGTTGATGGTAAGATACAGGCTCTTTGTCTTCCCACCCTCCTCCCAAGTGACTCAATCATTCCACATTGATCTGCTGTTAATGCCACCTCCTCCCTGGCCATCCTTCATCGCGGTCCTCGGCTCCTGAAGCCTTGGTTTCCTCACCTGGAAAGCACCAGCCCCTCCCTGAAGGTATTGCTAAGAGGCTTAAAAGAGATCATAAGTGTTAAGCTCTAATCTCAGTGCCTTCTTGACACATTATTGAATGTGATCAATAAGTACTCATTAGCTTTATTTCTTCACCCTCCCAGGAAGCATTCACTCATTCCCTCCACTGTGACAGATGCAGAGATGGCCGTCGTGTCCTGAGTGCCTCATCGGTATTGTTTCATCTAAGCTGAATGCTGCCAGCCCCTGTCCACAGGTGAGGAAACTGACGCTCAGAGAGGAGTAACTCACCCCAGTTACACAGATCTTATAGTTCCTGCCTTCCAGCTGGGCGGGGTGAGGAGGCAGTGGGCAGAAGTGGCCAAGAATAACGCATTTGGTAAGGGTTGTAGCAGAATGAACAGAACAAGGTCCTGGAAACACTGCGGGGGCGGGGGGGGGAGGGTGGGGAGACAGTTAAATGACTCCTGGAGTGCCTCCAGTGGAGGTGACTCCAACTGGATCGTAAAAAATGAGTGTGAGCCGAAACCAGTTTGGCTCAGTGGTAGAGCGTCGGTCTGCGGACTGAAAGGTCCCAGGTTCGATTCCGGTCAAGGGCATGTACATTGGTTGTGGGCACATCCCCAGTGGGGGGTGTGCAAGAGGCAGCTGGTCGATGTTTCTCTCTCATTGATGTTTCTAGCTCTCTATCTCTCTCCCTTCCTCTCTGTAAGAAAATCAATAAAAATATTTTTTTTTAAAATGAGTGTGAGATATACGAGTTGGCCAAGCAAGCCAACGCATGCCAAGCAGAAAGAAGAGTACCTGCATAGGTTGGAGAGGGGGGCAGGAGTGGGGAAGAGAGTGGTGAGAGGCAAGAAGCATGTGGTGGCTCTAGGAATGGTGTCGCAGGCAGGGGCTGGGTCACTGCATGGAAGACTGGTGAGCTGTGAGGCCGGGAAGGCTGCTCAGAGGGAGGTTAGGGAAAGAACGTGAAGGCCAGGCCAAGGAAAACTCGGTGCTTTGCTCAGGTTGAACCTGTCTCCTAAAGTCCACAGAGGGTGGCTGAGGGCGGGGCTATGAGGCTTGTGTGGTAGGCCCCTGTCAGAGGCTACTGGGACCCTCCTGGCTCCTGTAGCTCGTGCTATAACTGGGTATGGTGGGGGGGATGGGTGATCTCCTCTCCCACCCATGTGTGCCCAACTCGCACATACGGAACCCCAACAACAATTGGCAGTTGGTTATGACATCTCCACTTTAGAGGGGGAATCGGGACCTAGGGGAGTGATGTGACTGGCACCCATGGAGCAGGGCTGGGACAGCACAGAACGCCTGATTCTAAGACTGTTCCTCCCACACCCGCGGTCCCTGGACAGACTCTGACCCTGCCAAGAAGCAGGTTGCAGGCAGGTTCGGTGTCCAGGACATATAAACACGGAGTCACGGAACGCTTGAACATGCTGTCCAAATCCCACATGTGGAGAAGGACTTTCCCAAGACCACACTGAGTTAAAGATCTTGCCAGAAATAAAGAACATTTTTCGTCCAGATTCACCCTCTGAGCCTCTGGCTCTGCCATTTACCAGCTGTGTGACTTCAGATAGATAACTGTGGCCCTCTCTGTCTTCGCTTTCTTCTGCATGAAGTGCGAGCACTCAGGGCTGCGGGGAGGATCAAGGGCGACGATGACCACTGACACTGACTGGGCCTTTCCCACGTGCCTGACACTGCTCCAAGCAGGAATTACTCATTTAATCTCGCAATGGCCCAATGAGTGGCCCTCTTTTAGAGGTGAGAAAATGGAGGCCCTGGCCAGTTTTACTCCGTGGCTAGAGCATCGGCTCTCAGACGGAAGGATCTCAAGTTTCATTCCAGTTCAGGGCATGTACCTCAGTTGCAGGCTCGATCTCCATCCCGGACAGGGTCCATGCGGGAGGCAACCAATCAGTGTGCTTCTCGCATGTTGATGTCTCTCTCTGCTTGTCTCTCCCCCTCCCTTCCACTCTTTGTAAAAATCAATGGGGGGGGAAATATATATCCTCCAGTGAGGATTAACAAACAAAACGGTGAGAAAACTGAAGCGCAAAGAGGTTAAGTAACTTGTTCAGGATCAAACAGCTAATACGTGGCAAGGCCGGGATCTAACAGGGCCCCGGGTCGCACGCAGTGAGTAGCACACACGGTGTCTGGCGCCCAGGAAGCACTGAGCTTGTGGCCTGAGTGTGTCCCATGTCACTGTCTGTGCCCGCCCTGGGAGCGCTCACTCCTCCCCTCATCGCCACACCCACAGCCTCTGGGCTCCCGTTGGTTCCTGCCAATCCCGGGGAGGGGCGTAGAGGGAAAGGCAAGGCTTCCTCAGACCCCTGTGTTCCAGCTCCTGTCCTCGCTGTGTTCACTGGGTCCTGGTCAACCCAGCAGTGCCATCCGCTGAGTCCAGCTCCTTCGCTGAGTCCTACAAGGTGCCCGCTGATGCCAAGCACTGTGGGAGCTTTGTGCACTTTCCTGACAGTTTGGGGTCACGGAGAAGGGTCTTGTGGAAGACACAGCCTTTGGCCATCTGTTTGCTTTGCGCCAAATTCCCCCAAACTGCAAATCCCCTCCCTGTGCTCTGCAGAGAGCACGGCAACCCCTGCCCCAGGCCCTTCCTGGGCACCCCCAACTCCATCCAGGATCTCAGAGAACACCATGCCTGCCCTCCTTACTAGGCATCTGGGACGACAAAAAGAAAGCATTTCCCTCGCCGTCATCATGGAATAAAAGAGTATTCGGGTCATGAGCCAGAATCATTGGCCAAAAGTGTAGAACCGGCGATATTCCTGTCGATGGCATCATGCTAATACGGCTGGTGATGGGGACAGCACGCCTACAGAGGGCGCTGCTCTACGCACTGTACGTCATTCTCACTCGTACAGCCAAACCCACGGGAAGGGGGCTTGATGTTTACCGTGCTGAGCGCTTTACACAAGTTGCCTTGTCTCGTCTTCAACAGGAAAAGCACTTGCCCTGTTTTGTGGATGAGGGGCCCCGTGCTCACAGGCGAGGAGGACGTGCTCAAAGGCAGAGGTACGCTTGTTGGGGTCACACACCCCACACGAGTCTGCACAGGTCCGAGATGACTGTCTATATATCGGTAGGTTTTAGAGAGAGAGGCAGGGATAGGGAGAAAGAGGAACTTCCATGTGAGAGAAACATCTACCCGTTGCCTTCCAGAGGGGCCCCAACAAAACCCACAACCCAGGTACGTGCCCTGACTGGGAATCAAGTTGGCAACCTTCCAGTGCATGGAACAACGCTCGACTGCCTGAGCCCCTCTGGTCGGGCGACTCTGCTTCTGAGGGGAGTTCCTGGCGCGTGTGGGGAGGCCAGAGGAGCAGCTGGTGAGGATGGAGGCACTCCAGACAGATGGCAGAGCTGAGGAGCAAGGCAGAGGGGGGGGCCCAGGCCTCGGCCCACGCCGGGGTCTGCATGTCTGCTGTGCACCCGTATGCATGCGCCTGCACGTGGCTGTGGGCACCCAC